GACGGCGCTTCGGCTGCTCGTCCGGCTGAAGGGACACGGAAGGGGAGAGTTTGTGTGGGAGAATTTGCAGGAATCAGAACGTGGTGACAGCAGGGAGTGGGCTTCGAAGTGGAGGCACTTCCATTAGAGATGGATCAGAGGCCTGTGATGCGCGTCAAACACAACTTGTTTCAGCCTCCGTGAAGACAAAGGGTGCGAGTTGGAACAGCAGAGGCTGCAGTTACATATAAGGGAAACTGTGTGTGTGAATTTGCAGGAATCAGAACGTGGTGACAGCAGGGAGTGGGCTTCGAAGTGGAGGCACTTCCATTAGAGATGGATCAGAGGCCTGTGATGCGCGTCAAACACAACTTGTTTCAGCCTCCGTGAAGACAAAGGGTGCGAGTTGGAACAGCAGAGGTTGCAGTTACATATAAGGAAAACTATTGCCCTTAAGGGTAATAAAATATTGGAAGTTCTTGGAGCAGGAGATTAAGCTAGAGACCTCCTGAGGTCCCTTCCAGCATGAGTTATTTTATGATTCCATTCATCTTTTTCAAGCTGAAGGTCATTATTTCATCGTCTCAATTATGCTAGAAAGGGTTATCTGAAAGATTAGGAGTAATACATTGAAAATGGCCTGTTAGCTTAGCAATTTCTAAAAATATAACTGAATTTTATGTGTGTAGAAGGTTCTGTGTGACAAAAAAAAAGGGTAAGACTTCCCTAAGGTACCAGTCTGTGATACGTTTGCTATTTCATCTGATAAATAGTTCAAATACCCCATGATTAAGGAGAGTGAAAAATCTGTGTGGAAGCTGAAGAAATACAATTATTTTTTTTCACATGTATAGATCATACATTCTACAATCTTAAGATACTGGTTTTTTCTGTGAAGAAGGTGAAGTTCCTGTTTTAAAATACCTGTGCTTTACAGTTTCCATACACATTAGTAAGAAAAGTGAAAAAAGCTACATGACTTCGTTTTATATTTTCAGCATCGTGCTACAGTCAGAGCTAAGTGAAGCATTTGGAGCAAGATTGCTCTTGCTGGCTGTCAAAATACGTTGTAGAAACGTCTGATGGAGCCCTCGTAATGGAGAAATGTGTTTGGTTTCCTGCCAGTGTCTTCCCATGGTGCAGAAATCCCAAGTGTTTGCAGATGGGGCAGTGACGTCCTTAGACCAAACATCAGGGGATTTAGTTAGCTATCAAACAGAATAATTTACAATACAGTTATATTTGCACTAACCTAACAGTATATTTAAATCAAGCGTTGTATCTGATTACTGAAAATTTGCCTGGGATAAAGCCAGCACCGCCCCCCTTCCCCCCCAAGGAAAACACCAGTGACTTAAGGGAAATTTGACCTGCGTAAGTCCTGAGTAAGAAACTGATCCCATATGTTCTTGGGAATGCCCTTGCAGTACTTTTGTCAGTTCAGAAATACAGAGGAATTCCTGGGAATTTGGTAAGAGAAGCTGGTGCCAAAGAGTGAGTCACACATTAATACGTGTTTAACTGTTAGTGTACCTGGCTTTTTCTGGATTGCTTCTCCTGAGCTGCTGGTCAGGTTTGCTGAGAAGGCAGGTGGTTTGCAGAGTGACATGTTTGTCCTTTTTCAGTTTTAAACAACCAAGTTAAGGCCTATTAAGTACAGTAATTCTGGTAGGCAAATAATTGTATGAACAACAGGTATGCTCTAAACTACTTTATATAAGGAAAAAACCTCCTTTTCCCTACCTTACTGGTCTCAGCTTGAAATATAAGGTGAAGCTCACTTTAACTCTTTCTCAGTATAGGATGTAACAGGATGCTAAAACCACATAAGAAAAAATTTTCATCAAATTATATTTTGTTAAAGAACTCTTACAGTTATTTTTAATAAGTAACTCTATGCACATCACAGCCAAGTGTTATAATGTGTGAGAAGAGTCATACAGTATATGAACAAAGGTGGTGAGATACAACCTAGAAAAAAAAGATGAAGCTGATCTTAGAAAACCAGGAAGAAGTAAAAGTAAACAGCATAGTTAAAGTGTGCATAGACATAGATATATTTTTTTTTTAATTATTTTAAAGCATGAGTTGTTTGTAGAGTTAGTAAGAATAATTCCTCTGAACGTGGTAGCTAATACCTCTTTAACGTTAGTGCAGAAAATTTAAGAATTAGTCTCTATATTTACAAGTGCAATTCTGCATGGACAAGACTATAAAACATACTTGGGGGGTTGTATTATCTTCCAAATAGTGGCATACACTGAATTTGCATTAAACTCTATTTTGTATTTGTTAACTCTGTCTGGTGTTTAGCCAACCAAGCTGTATGTTTCCTCATTGTTGTAAGTCACCATTAATTGTCCTGGAGGGTAAGTCATGACCTAATGGCACTTACAAAATGTTCTTCCTTGAGCTGATTTATCTAAACAGAATTGATTAGAAATTAGTAAGTGATCCTCCTGCTGATGTATGGTGAAAAAATTAAGAGCTGTTAATACTTCCTGTGCTGTTGACGGTGCTGTGCAAAAGGAAATAAAAACCAGTAGCTGTTTATTTTCCCCAGTGAAATGATCTGATACAGGCACTGCTACAAAAGATGCCCACCTTTGATTTCTGTGTGTCTGAGAATCTGATTTTCATGCTGAGGAAACAGAATGTTTGTGCTTCTGTGGCTCTTAGGTTAACAATAAACTCAGCCATGTTTATGCTTCTTCAGTGGAAAGGGGTAAACATCCATTAGATACATTAATGCATTGGGCGTTCTGATAAGTTCATGTTCTACATATTTTATGGGTGGAACTGCAAACTCACGGAGAGGCTAGCTTGAGGGCATTTAGGATTCCCAAAATTGGATGAACTCATCACTGTGACCAATGCGTATCTCTCTGCATTGACACTCTCATGTTCTTCT